TCTTCTAATATTGTAATTAGTCTCAGAAAAACCTCTTGGAAATTGATTTAAGTAAAATTCATCTACATAATGTGGAGGAACAAAATTTTGATTTGGTTGGTTAAATTTTGCAATATTTTGTTCAGGCGGAACATAAAGTAAATGTTTTGAAGTATTTTCTAAAAAATCCTTTGGAAATTCCATAGATAAAAAATTAAAAAGAAAAAATCGCGTTAAAACGAAGTTAAAAGAACACATTAAAAAGAACGCGTTAAACATGATCAAAAACGATCTACGTTTTTGATTGATCGAAAAAGCGAATTTTGATCGCAAATGTTATTGGTCGAAATGTTTGTACAACCCAATCACAAAATCCGAACGATCAACTTTGAAATGGCCTATTGTTTCATCTGATTGATCAGCACAGCAATTTTTTTTTTTTTATGTTATGTTGGCAGAATTTAGAGCAAAACGAGAAACTGAAAGGATTCGAGTTGAAGCTAAATACCAAGTATTAGGGTTTATCAGTTCAGGTACTTATGGAAGAGTTTATAAAGCCAAGGCAAAAAAGACTGTAAAAAGGTTGATAGGTTATGATTAAAGTTTGATCATTACAACATTTTTGAAAATTATAGAATTTTTTTTTTTAAAAAAAAATAATCTAATAAGAAAGAAGAAAAGAAGAAAATATTAAGTATTATTTGTTTATTTACTTATTGATTTATTTTGTAGCGCTGATGGAGAAGAAAAAGAACTTGTATATGCGATAAAGAAGTTCAAGCCAGATAAAGAAGGTGATACTCATACATATACTGGAATATCACAGTCTGCATGTCGAGAAATATCGGTATTTGAAATTCATGATATTATCTTTTTTTTAAAAAATATCAATTGATTATTTAATAAAAATTTAGTTATGTCGAGAACTTCGACATCAGAATATTGTTTCACTACAAGAAGTGTTGTTAGAAGATAATTCAATTCATATGGTGTTTGCATTTGCTGAACATGATTTTCTTGTAAATAAGTGATTAATAATTTCAATCTTTGCTTTGGGTTGCTTTTGGTTGATAAAATTAATATTTCATTAATCATCATTTAAAAATAAATCAAATTAAATTAAATTAGCAAATTATTCATCATCATAGCCAACATGAAAGAAAACCAATTCCCGAGTTTACCATAAAATCGTTTTTATGGCAATTACTTAATGGGGTGGCGTACCTCCATGCAAATTGGGTTTTGCATAGGGATTTAAAACCTGCAAATATTTTGGTGACTAATGATGGTGTTGTGAAAATTGGTAATTTTACAATTTTAAAAATGTTCCCCCCCCCTTTTTAAAAATTTTTCTAAAATTAACTTTTAATTTAGGGGACTTGGGTTTAGCAAGAATTTATGAGCGTCCTTTACAGCCGTTGTTTAATGGTGACAAGGTTGTTGTAACTATATGGTATAGGGCTCCTGAACTCTTGCTGGGGTCAAGACATTACACAAAGGCTATAGGTTATGATCCCAACTTGGAATATATTTAGTTAATATTCTATATAATCAATAGTTTTAATTTATTTTAATCAATAGATATATGGGCTATTGGATGCATTTTTGCTGAGCTTTTAACGTTGAGACCTATTTTTAAAGGTGAAGAAGCTAAAATGGACAATAAAAAGAACGTTCCCTTTCAGAAAAATCAATTGACAAAGATTTTCGAAGTCTTGGGAAAACCAACAAGTACGTTAAAATTTTAATTTGATTTAATTTGATTGATAGTTATCTAATCGGAATTTTTTTTTTTTTTTTTGAATGTAGAGGATCAATGGCCCACCATTGATCAACAGCCAGAGTACCATAATTTGAATGCTTTTCGATCGTAAGTATAGCAGCTTCGAGTGAATGAGTAAATTTTTATTTATATATTTTTGAAAAACATACATTTTTTTCGACCTTTTTATTATTTTAGATCTCCAAATCGACTTCACGAATTTTATCAAACATGTTCATCAAAGTCGGATGCAGGTTTTGAGCTGCTGGCGGCAATGTTAGGGTATGATCCAGTTATGCGTATCACTGCCGAAGAAGCTTTGCGTCACCCATATTTTGACGAAGAACCAGCACCGTCCATGGAGTAAGAATAATTTCTTTTCTAAAAAAAAAAAAAAAAAAAAAATTCTGCGTATGAACATTTATTTAATAATTTTATTGCTTTTCAATGAAAAGTTCATTTGAAGGACAACCGTATCAATATCCATCACGGGTAGTTAAAAGTGAAGATAATGATATGAGAGTGCCACCAACAGTAACTTCAGCTGTGCAAGGCCAGGCCGGAGCTACGCACGGAGGAACAAGAGGGAAACATGGACATAATGGAAAAGATGAAGGAAGACCGCCAAAAAGGAGGGGATAAATAATATTATTGTGTATTTAGTTAAACGCATAGATAGAAAATGTTCTTTGTATTCAGTTGTATTTTTATTGATTTTTTATTACAAATATGTTTTTATAGGACGTGCAAAAAAAAAGATTGATTCCACGCGCATTTATTTTTAATTTGATATTTTTTGTCCATAATAACGATGCGTTTTTGTATAAGTTCTCGATACTTCAAATTCTTGTACGCAATCTTGAACGAATTTCTCATATTCTTGTAATGACATGTTTAGGAAATTACTAAAAGGCGAACTGACTGCTTTTGTAACTTGCACAAAATCATTAAGTCCCTAAGCAAAACAGTGCAAATGTTATTATTTAAACTTTTTTTTTAAAATGATTGATAAATAATTTTTTTTACCATTTTACCCAATGTACCGCCCCAACTACCTGTTGGACAATATTTATGCTCGTGTTTAACCGAGGCAAATTTCTTGGTAGAAAGTAACTGGTCGTCTAATCTTTCAGCTATCATTGGATTACCATGCTTTGATTTTGTAAATTCCACGATGTTATCAGTAAATTTTTTTATCTTGGGACCTTCATTTATACATCTAGGATCCCATTCCATAAATTGAACCCAACCTCCAATTTTACACACTCTCAAAGTTTCACGCAAAAGTACATTTTCCCATTGATCTTGCGTAAAGGCCGGTATCAAAAACCTAACGTGAACAAAATCAAAAGTTTCATCTTCAAAAGGCAAACCCTCTAATACATCACATTGAATGAACTCTGAATTCTTTGGTGAACAATCTGTTGGAAATAACTGATTCACATCGATTCCTTTGAATGTTGTGAGTGGATATTCTGAAGCCATTTCAAGGATCCATATTCCACTTCCCGTTCTTATCAAAATTAGAATTTAAATATATAAAATATATATGTATGTATATATGTATTTATCTTTAGCTTTAATGCGTTTGATTTTTTTTTTTTTAAAAGACTTAAATAAATTATTTGTAATATAGATTTTTAACGAACCCAATGTCAAGTACGTGCATTCCACCTTCTATCAATTGTTGTTTGATTGGAACTGAAAAGTTATTCTGCCAAACCATTCGAAGAAGATAATGTTGCGAATGTAATCGATCAATTTCATTGTCATCCTGTTGATAAGGATACACACTATTATTATCATTGTGAAGACGTATTTCATCGATAAAACGAAACTTTTCTTGATTATCTAAATAATTTTCATTCTCGTTTTCTACTGATGATGAACGAATTTGAGCTTCATTACTTTCGGACATTTTATATACATTTGTATTTCATTTAACTTAAATTCGGATTCTAAAAAAAAGATTTTTTTTTTTTTTTAAACGAAAAAAAAAAAATTGCAAAAGATTGTAAGACGACGACATCATTTTTAATCGTTCCACACTTTTTGAAAATCGTTCCCCTATAAAAAACTTTAATCTTGGCATTGATAACGGAGCGGAGATACAAATACCAAAAAAGTTAGATCAGTTTCCGAACATCTTCCGATAAAGTGATAATAGTGATCCATATTTTCACGGGGAACTTTAGAATATCAATGATTTTCACTGTGAAATCATGATTCACCAGCTTGTCTTACTGATGATTTAAATTTACTACTATCATTTTTTTTCAATTTGTTTTTGAAGCTGAGACACGTTATTAAGATTTTATAGCTAATTACAAACGTAGAGTACATGATAGTCACGTACTCAATAGACTTACGTAATCACAGTTCTATAACGTAACTACATAATAATTCGTTCGTAATAACGTACTCACGTTACAGTAACAAATTTAGAATTGGTGAGTGAATTTATTCTAAAGTTCTAATGCACTTTTTTATTTAATTATACTACTAACTCATATCTTTTTTTTAGCAACTTGAAAAAAACTTCGATAATAAGTGAGCTTTTCTTTTTAATGAACTTGGAATTAAAGTGAGCGATACTTTTGTTTCTTTTTCTTATTTTTTTTTTTTATATTTTCTTTTATTAATTATTAAACTGCTTAAACTGTAGAGTTTTTTTTCAAAATAATCAATTACATTTACTTATTACTTTACAGAAAATTTGTTTCCTTACTGCATAGTGCCTATTAGGCTGCGATTAAGCTACTATTAAGTAAGATAGTAACTATATATTTACTATATACTCACTTTACCAAGTTTCTGTAAAGTAATGCAAAGTAACCGCGTCATCTAATCCAGACACGAAAATTTTTCGTCAGAAAATTGAAGAAACGTGAAAATGGTTATGCACTTTAAATACTGTAATGTTTAAATAAGAATTTATTATTTACAGTGCGCGACGAAAGTTTTCGGAATTACGTTTTTGTTTATTATACTTCGAAAACAACTCGAAAATACATGAAATTTTAAAATTATATATTTCATTATATAACGAAAAAAAAATATTAAGCTGAGTCAATAGCTTAGCTTATTGCCATTCCCCTCAATTATTTGTTCCAATCGTTTTGGCATGCTACGAACCAAATTAAGAAGAATTTCGGGCTCGATTCTCTCCTAATCTTTTTTAATTACATCAATAAAAACATCTATAGTAATTGATTTTTTTTTTAATTACAAGATTGTTGACCTCTTTTTCCACACGTCCTTCATAATTGACTACAAATTCTCAATCGGATTTAAATCCGGGCTTTTCGATGGCCAATCCAACAACTTCGAACATCGTTCAGAAAGAAGTTTTTTTAGTTTCCTTGGCCATGTGTTTAGGGTCATTGTCCTGTTGGAAGACCCAATACCTTTCCATTACATATTTTGCATTTTCAAAAAGGTTTTCATTTAAAATTTCTCAATAAAATGCCCCATCCATAATTCCAGTAAAAAGAAGAAACCCAACTTGACCTTTAGCCAAAAATGCATCCCATGCATAAACTTTGTATGGATGTTTAACCATAGGTTTCTGTGAAGGTTGTGTACCAGCCTTATAAAACACCTTTTGTGTATTTCAAAACATTTGAAATGTGGTCTCATCAGAAAAAGACAACTTGGTTCCAATTTTGTCTTTGGTATTTCATTGCAAATTCTACATGATGCTGCTTATGAAGGTCTGTAAGTAATGGAATGGACTTTGGGATTTTACAAATATATTGAAAGTTATGAAGTTCTCTAAGTACAGCCCTTTTGGATTTATTAAGATTGGGATGTGTTTTGTTCAAATTGTTTTCAAACTCAACACATGTAGAAAATTTATTTTTGAAACAAGCTTTCCAAGGTGATGACGTTTTCTTAGAGAAAGCTTTTTTGACCTTCCTGATCAAGATAAATCTTTATAGAACCACTTTTTTTTAGTTTTTTGATATAGTCATATATGATAGAGAGTAGAATAGAAGTTATTTTATTATTTTATGCAAAGCTTTGGCATTATGAGTTTCTTATTTTCACAAAGTTATTATAATAATTTAGCGTTATTTTGTATAATATAAACCATGATAAATTTGGTATAAAAATTGATCGACATAAATAAAATCTAAATAAATATGATAATCACATCTAAAAATGACTACTGCATAGTCACGTAAAATAGTTATTTAATAAATTACATATTGCAAGAGAAAATCATAATTTTTACATCAAATTTTATTTTGAGAACTTTCATCATGCACTATATGTATTTTTTAAAAGTTTATTTATTACTTTATAAATCTTATTAATAAAAATTTAGTTAAAGCAATTTATGATTTATGAATATAAATGATTTCAAATTTTACATCCTATAAAATTACAATTCATTTCTTTTCAATTCTCTCTCTTTTCATTTAATTTCTAATTTTTAATTAATTATCCAATTTTTTCTTTTTAATTTTTTGTGTTCTTCGATTTCTAATTCTTGAATTTGTTTTTAAAATTCATAAGTAGATTTTGATTTTCTAAAAATTTAAATTATAAATCAATCTAAATCTAAAATATAAATACTTTTCTTTTATTAATATCTATTTTTCTTTTAATATTACTTTATTTTACTTAATATTGATATATTATTATAGAATCTTCTATAGAGACTTAATCATAATTTCACAAGATAAAAATAATATAAATTCATAATACTTAATAACATATAGGAGGCGGTCAATAGAGAAGGAAAAAATCTACAAATTTTGAGTAATTTTAGTTATTAAGCTAGTTTTGTTCACATGATCATGATTAGCAAAATGAATCAATAAAAAAATTTTTGACTAAAAAGTGAATTTTCCCCTTTTCTATTGACCACCTTCCATATATTAAACAATATAAATCAATCAAATAAACTTATTAGAATTTGCAGTTTTTAGTTTTAAATACATCTCTTCTCTATTTATATTAGTATATGAATATTTAGATACATTAGTATCAAATGGAGTAGTTATTTAAATATCTTGATCTATTAATAAATAATTATAATTAATGATGCCAAAATCCAAAAGGTTTAATATTCAATAATCCAATTTATTTTTTTTAATAAAGATTAATTGATAATAAATATAATTTAAAAGAAAATAAAACAAATTCTTTACTACTTATATTTTCATCTCCAATCAATTATAACTGACTAAATAGAAAATTTACTTCATTTTTAATCTTAGTTTTAAAAAGCTGACGTATTAAAAATTTACTTTCATTTAAATATTTAGAATTTCTTAAATTTCTATTTTATTAAATAATATAAATAAAGTAAGTAATTAATAATTATTCGCAAATAATCTAATAAAATTTGTATTACTTTTTAAAATGAATTAACATAATTTTAAAATATAAAGCAAATGCTATTCTGGACTTAAAGAATTATATAAGAAATTAAAGCTAAAGATAATCTTTTAGCTTGATTTTTATTTTAGTTTAACAATAATAGTAACTTATCCTATTTTTTCAAAATTTTCTAAATTAAAATAATAAAAATTAATTTTTCTCCTGTTAAATCTTTATAAACTTCAATAAACTATAAATATGTATTGATAATCTTTAGCATTACTTTTATTTAAATAGATTTAAAAAAATTA